ACCCTTTCTACCCACATTTGAAATGTTATCGATTCTCTTCACATCGCAGAGAATCGTGCCCGGAGCGTATAAATCATGGGATGGTTTTGGAAGCTTATAGACTCAAAACAATGCTGTTTGTATGTGACGGTAGCGAATTATTTGCTGTTAAAGTTCTTGTTAAGGTGATGAATATAGTTTATTCCTTCGCGTGGTCGTGACTAGAAAGGACTATATTTTTCATCTTCCTAGGAAATACAGTGTTTGTGAAAGTATTTGAATTAGTATAAAGAAAGTTGTGTGATTTGTAACTTGTGGGATTCGAATACGACTCTACCTTTTAGTTTTCCATGTGTGTTTTAAGAAAATTGCAAATTTTTATGGTGAAATATACACAACAGTGAACATAAAAGGACTTATTTATTGTACGAAATATTGTGCCATGTTCTCATATTTACAGTGATGATTTCAGATTTAAAAAATTGCACAAGGGTAGAAATACTGACAGATATGGAAAGGGTGTCTACTTGCTTTTGATTTTTGTGAACACGTAACACTGATTGTTTGCTTTCTAAATAAAGTTCTGGGAAACCTACAGGTGTTTTGCTAATTTTTTTTCTTCACATTTATAATAAATGTATTTTAAATTTATTCAAGCAGTTTACTGATGGTCATTTTTACAGCCAGACTACTTTTGAGTGGAAATTTCTCAGTATCCACTTTAGTTTTGATGTTCTGACAAAGCTGAGTTACTGAAATAGATGTGAAAGGTGGGAAATTATGTTACTAGGATTGTTTCCTTTGAAGACAGTAATAAAATTAACTGTTGATTTCAATGGCGTTTTTAAAGCTTTAAAGGGGGGTGTGGTGTAGGGGAAAGAGCTCTGGAAGTTACTTTAAACATTCCCCAGGTTTATTGTCTTTGGAATATCACTCTCTGAGCCTTACTTTTCTCATCACTAAAATGGAAGATTATAAAGTATAGGGTAGTTTAACAAAGCTTAAACATTTTATACAATTTTAGCTTTTCCCTTTGAGTCTGGATCTGTGTATCTTCATAATCAGTGCAGTTGCATATAGTGTACTGGGGAAAAAGATACATCTTTTTTGCAGCATGGGTGCATGGGTACAAGAGCACCTGGCTCCAGGCATCAGTCACAATGGGTCTTACTGGCTCAGTGCAGTCTTTATTGCTTGTGGGTGTACTTTTGGTCCCATCAGGGGATGCTTTGCCTTTTGGATGTTTTGCCTGATTTAAGAGAGGAGCTGGAAAGAGGGGTTTAATCAGTTAGAAAGTACAGACTGATGTCAAAATGGAGGTAGTTGGAAGTTCTCTTCTTCGATTTTTCCCCTTTTTTCTTTGCTGCTTAATCCTATAGTAAAGGAGTATGTTCATTTTCATCCTTTCTTTCTTTTCTTTTTTTAGTTTTTAACATTTGTTCATTTTTGACAGCGCGAGCGGGGAGGGGCAGAGAGAGAGGGAGACACAGAATCTGAAGCAGGCTCCAGGCTCTGAACTGTCAGCACAGAGCCCGACATAGAGCTCAAACCCATGAACAGTGAGATCATGACCTGAGTGGAAGTTGGGCAGTCAACCATCTGAGCCACCCAGGCGCCCCGGAGTATGTTCATTTTCTTTTGACCTTTAGACTCCCCTTTAAGACCCCTTTTTAAAGCTCATCTCCTTAGGCCAGACCCACTCAAGATAATTTCCTTTTTGGCACACTCAACTGATTAGGGACCTTAAATACATATGCAAAATCTGTTTGCCATGTAACCACCACTGGAATGATACCCTATTATGTTTACAGGTCCCCTACACTCAAAGGGAAGGTAATTTATAGGATGTGGGTCATTGAGGGTTCTTAGAATTTTGCCTGCCATTGGGAAAGGGGTATCTTTACGTTTGTGTCTTTAGAATCCAGACATATAAGGAGAGCACAGAGGGAGAGCAATAACCCACTTGATAAATTTACTCATACTTACTTGTCTTTAAACCTTTTATTTTCCCATTATTTCCTCGTACCTTATTTTAAGTGCCTCCCTCTATAAAAATATTTTATTGCATTTAAAAGAAATTAAAAACTAGAATTAAAAAACTTCAGGTAATAAGGCAATAGGAAATTAATTATCATTATTCCTTCATACCTGTTGTTTTACCCATTTTAGAGATAAGATTGAATCTAATAAGGTAAGAGATTTTAATGCTTAAGCCATTAAGTGACAGGTAGATTCACATACTGATTGCAGCAGGCAATTGCTGTGGCTTGATTGGTCTGCAGATTGTAAAGAAGTTGTTCTTACGAAAATAGTTATTTGTAAGGGTCAGAGATATTGTTGGTGGAACAAAGAAGGTAGCAGAAGGTGGTATGTGGGATGGTTTGAGTCTAAGAAGCAAAATATTTTCAAGAGGAGGCAATTAGGAGATTTATAGTTAAGGATATCAAGCTTTAAAGAATATATAAAGAATTTAAAGAATATAGCTCTTCAATATAAAGAGTTAAAATTGTTAGGGGGATACAATTTGATTTCTTAATAGAGAGGTGATATAATAGGGGGTTGGTAAATCTTTGTTAGCCGAATAAGCATATAAATTTTTAGAATTAAGGTATTTCTACCTAAAGCAGGAAGTAGAGACCTAAAAGAATATTCTTACTTAAGCCCCAGGATGAGATGAATCTTGAGATGGGAATTAGGGGAATGCCTGCAGAGAAGGAGGGGTTAGCTTTCTGTCATTTCAATAGTTAAGAGGATAGGATCCTAGCTTCCTACCTTAGTGCTGAGAGAAACCCTGTTTTATTGAGAAATGTGATTCTTTTAAAGTGAGCTTTAAGTAGGTCATAGACCAGTTGGTTTTATAGAATCTTTTCTCCATATAATTCATCCCTTATTGCTTCCCTTAGGTTTTTCCTCCTCCTCTTTTAATTCTGTTTTTGCCAGTTTGTGCTTGAAGGACATCTTAAATCCTACTTTTTTTTTTTTTATAAAATACATTCCTTTGTGCTGTGGGCAGAAAGGGTGCACTATTAAGTTGCCCAAATATCTCGTAGAGTTTTGCTAAAATTAAACAGCTACAGTAATAGCTTTTAACTTGCTAGAAGCTCACAGGTAGCAAAAAAATTTTACGTTGTGACCCAATACAAACACACACACACACACACAGGAAATAAAAGTTTCATGAAATAGTATTTAGCCTTTATGTTGTGCTCTCAGATATTTTCAGATTTTGTTTTTTAACTAAAGAATGTTGGTTGCATCTCACCTAAGTGATACCGTGACTTCGAACTGGAGAGCAGTGAATTATACCTTGATAATCAGGAGGGTGCCAAGTAAAACCATAAGAGGAAACCATTTTGCTTCTGTCAAATTGGCAAACATTAAACATTCTGATAATATCAAGTGTTGGTGAGAATGTGAAGAAATTATACTCCTGCTTTTGGCAGTGGTATAAATTGACACAGTTATTTTGCAGAAGAATTTGTTTTATCCTTGATTTCTAGGATAATTTTCACTTGGTCGCAGTATTTCATGTTTCATATTTAATGTTTTGTTTAGGGGTTTGGAGATATTCATAAAGGATATTGCTTTGTAGTTTTCTTTGGTGGTAATGTCTTTGTCAGGTTTCAGTATATGGTTATGATGGCCTCATAAAATAGGTCTGTTTACTGAAATAATTTGTCTAGCATTGATATTCATTCTGAATTGAGTGTTTACTAGAATTCACCAATGGTACCGCCTAGATACGGATTTTTTTTGGGGGGGGGAGGTTTTTGATAACATTCAAATTTAGTTTTGTTAGTAGACATGGCTGTTTAGATTTTTTTTTCATCATGTCAGTTTTGATAAATTGTATTTAAACGACATTTGTTCATCTCATTTGATTTATTGATATAAATTGTTTACAAGATTCCCTTGTTATCCTTC